CTGAAGTTGCAGAAGGAGTTCGACTCAGCCGATCCAACATCTGGATCGGCTAAGCCGGACCTCCGGCAGGCTACTCGGCTTTCAGCGCGGCTCAGCCAACTTCGGGAGCTGTACGGGCTATAGGGAATAGCCCGTACAGCAGCCCTTCGGTTCTACTGAACCGAAGGGGTCCTGGGGCCGAAGCTAGCCGAAGGATCAGCCGAAGCTACGGCTAGATCCTTCGGCTGCTTCCTGAATAGACCCCTATGTTATGTTAGTAAAGAATAGTAAGTGTGGTGGCCATGGCTACTCATGCATATAACCGAAAGCTCAGCCTGTGATTGCCCTTGGAAATCAAACCTGGTTAAGTCCTCCACTCTACCTCTCAGAAAGTCTAAATAACCAAAAGAAAAGTAGGTCCAGTTGTAAACATTAAAGATACTCATGCACATAATATGATCATAGTCCTATCCACTGTCACTGACTGCAATGTCTATAGTTGCCAGGTGATTACTGCAGATTTTCCGTCCCAAACATTGGAACAAAGTGGCTTTTCCCAGTTCAGGCCTGCACTGAGTACACCTGTATGATAAAGATACCCCCTTGGCCAATACAAGTGTTCACTGTTTTTTTAATAGATCATCTGAATAATCAATCTGCCATCATAAAGCTATAGGCACTTTAACTATCCAAAGAATGGAAATGGCAATATATAAAATTATATAACATTTTACTTACATATATTATAGGTTTAAGTCACTTTATGATTGCTGCATTTTAGTTTAGACAAAACTATACATATTCTGGTATATTTATGATTTAAGCTTCCATCACTATTTCTAGCCTTTGGTACCAATGCCTAATAATTGGACTTAAAGCTGTGGTAAAACAATGAAACAAACAAATTTCATTGACTTAGATGTAAACTGTCATTTACAAAAATGTGGCAGTAGAAGAATTAAATAAATGATATATTGATAACTCCACCAACTCTTATATGTTACCTTTGTCTCACTTTCGTTGGACAATATTTCTAAAGCCTCCAGATGTGACAGTCCCTGATACTCATCAAATAACATTCCATAGTGAGCCGTCCTCTCATCCGACACTTGCTCAGACAGTCTCTGCTTCTCCTTTTCTTTAGCTTCCCTTAACATCTGCCATGTCAGAATCATAAAACAAAACAAACCATTTTCTTCATTCATTTTTTTTCATGGAAAACATAAATGAGTTGATGCATAAATGTACAGTTCCTTTTATATACTAATACAAATTGTAATTAAACAGCTTTATATCCAGGGCAACAACAGGCACATGGAGGCTGGGGCACAAAAAAGGGACATAAATGTGGGATGTACAACCAGGAAAATTTGAGCACCGCACTGTGCTAGCTCTCCTGTGATAGCTGAGACGGGAAGGCTCCAAGTGCAGTGTTCACACGGAGCAGAATGGAGAACGAATGTTCTCCATTCTGCTCCCTGCTCTCCATCCTGAACTACCTTGTCGTGGTCACAGGTCCCCCAGAAGAGCAGGGGACCCCAACAACTACGCCGAGGAGGCAGCCAGTGGGGAAAGGGTGCCGGTGGTGGAGGCGGACCATGGAAAGGGGGGGGGGCGGTGGGGGAGGACAGACGAGCAGGCTAATTACAAGTGATCTCAGCATCGAAAAAAGTGACCCGCCCGGCGCCTGGAACTGTACGTCCCGGGTGTCGGCCGATAGGAATGCCACACCCCTGGGTCTCGGTGGCTTTGTGGGAAATCCGGCCCTGGGCACAACAAGCACATGGAGGCTGAAGGCGCAAGAAGCACAAGGAGGCTAGGGGCACAAATGGCAAATGGAGGCTGTATCTCCTGCCAAAGCTTTAGTGCAGATTTTGAAAGGGTTGAACATTACCACCAGGACATGAAGTGAGAAAATAAATCTACCGACTGGGGTCACACAAGAAGAAAAAAAATCTGGTGTTAACTTTTCTGCTCCATTTAAATATAACAAAAATATTTTGAGTGGATAGACACTTTACCTATAAAGAGCTTAAAAAGATAAGATTTTTGTGGTTCCATGAACAAAAGTAGTGAATACTATTTTTTTTTACCCACTAAACATTCTTTTTCATCTTGTTTGCGATTCAAAAGGGTTTCATGACAAAAGGCAGTCAGTGAAAAGACATAACAGAATTTATTCTGCATTTCCATACCTGTGATAAAGATGCCGTCTTCTGCATAAGTATTTTAGTTTTCTTAAAGCCGGGGTCACTTTCTGCCAGTACATTCATTGTCTTCTTACCTATAAATTCCAAGGCATCCAGACCACCACTGAGAACGGTTTTACCCTAGAAAACGTCATCAGGGTTACTCTAATAATGAGGTACATGCATGCACATAGAGTTTTTATAATTTACTGGAACAATGCAGTGCAGTACATATCTCCCGCATGGAAATTATCTCTTCAAATAATGTTTTAGTAGTATGCAGTAATGAATTAATACAGTGCAGGAAACCTGCATCTAAAACTAGATCTCAGGTTTCAGAGACCAACGTCAGAATTTAGTATTATGTTGTTCCAGCACTGTTGGAATTTGACTTAGAACAAGAGAAGTAAGGCGAGGAAGATACTAGTTTACTGTTAGGAATTATTTAATTTGTTAGGTTCGTGTTAGGCTTAAGGGTTAGAGGGTTTAGTTTAACTATTACAGTCCAGGATAGGCTTTAGGAGATTAACCAGTTGACATCCGCGGCGTTACACCCCCTTCCCATCCAGGCCATTTTTCAGTATTCAGCGCTGCGGTACTTTGACTGACATTTATTCCGTCATGCAATGCTGTACTGAAATGAATTTTATACCCTTTTTTGGGGACACATAGAGCTTTATTTTGGTGGTATTTAATCACCACTGGGGTTTTTATTTTTTAATATATTAAGGAAAAACTACAGATTTAAAAAAAAAAAAAACAGTTCCCCCTATAATCTTGTATAAACCTTCCACCCAGCAAGTGCTAGTTGTAGGGATTACCGCCATTAGATGGCGCTCTGGAGCATAGGTGGTAATGGCTTGTCAATGGCATTCGCCAACCTTTATGCTGGGCGGAAGGTTTATACAAGAGTGTTAAGTAATTGGCTCAAGGTAAAATGTTAGATGGGGTAGGTTAAAGGCATTATACAGTATAATCCACAATTTTAAAGCCCTCAATGTATTATAAATCCAGGATATAATTACTCACTGTGTTTTGTACAACATTTGTTAAGGTTGAAAATACACCACGGGAACTTGCTGAAGGCGATGACGGCTCTGCTGGGCAATCTCCTTTTTCCGGCAACACTTTAATTAAGACAACAGTGTGAAAGGTTAATCCCTGGAATTAATAAAGAATGTTGTAGATCTGTTCATATGTGGATGAAGTATTAAAACCACATGTAGAAACGCTTCCGACATACGTACGTAACACCCCGCATATTATTGAACTACTGGACCAACTACAGGTATCAGAAGACACTTTACTAGTAGGGTTAGATGTTAGATTATTCTTCCATCCCTCATGAAAAAGGCATTAACACAGCAAAGAAATTCCATGACGAGTTAGTAGTAGACGAATATGAACATAATGATTTCGTTCTTTCCCTCTTTCATTTTGTACTCACCCACAATGCTTTTTCATTTAACAACTCCCACTACCTCCAGATGCGATGGGGACTACATGTGCCCCATCGTATGCAAACCTGTATCTGGGGGGG